CAAATTCAGTTAAAAAAACACCAGGTTCATAAAAAGTTATATTTCTAAGAAAACCAACAAACTGAATCAAATCATCACCATCTCTCGTTTCTCCGTTCTGAGCAAGAGGCAACAGTGGGATGAAATGACTACTTTCTGGGGTTCAAAGGGACTGAAAAGCAAGCAAAAAAAGTTATTTTTATAAGGGAAGAAAACCAAATAATACTAAGTTAGGGCCAGCAAAAATGTCAAATACATTCATTACTTAATGCAAATATGTGGCCCATCACAATAAAATGAGGATTAAGTCAAATTTGGTCAAAAATTACTTAATTTTTTATTTCAGATTCTTGATTTTGCTACATTTTGATACCCGAACCATCCTGAGTGGTTCTAAAGACATGACTTGATTTGTCTTCCTAATCAGGAAAATCTTTTGATATTTGGTCTGAATCTTATTTTAGGTTATTCTGATATTTGATGTCATTTAAAGAGGAAACCTCATACCATATTTGGATGTTAATTTTTACCAACTGAAAAGAAAAACGTTTTGCTCGCTCACAGAGCTAGCAAACCACTTTAGGACCTAATCCTTGGTTTGATGTGATGGATGAGTGGCTAATAAAGTATAATAACAAAAGCCAATGTTTTATTCAAGATTTTAATGTGCACAAYAATTTTTTTGCAAAGAAAACAACAAATCTGGGTAGACTATGAKATTTCAGAAGAAATAACACTTCAACACACCAAGGAGATACATTTTGAGAAAATGTAATATAACCTCATCTTGGAAGTTACTACAAATAATCAATGTTGAAATGTTGTGTTTGACAATCAGAAATGAACTAAATTGGTTGAGAAACATGTTGAAATAAAACCCTGACAAAAACTAAACTAAAGTGAAAACCTGACTGTAAATACAACTCAGAGTCAGCACAGCTCCCTTTTAATTTACTCAAATACATGTTTACTTATGTAATAAAGACAATAGAAATTGAAACGTGTTGTGCAGTGGAGATATAACCCTAGAATGGGATAACAGAAACAAGACGTAGCCATTGTTTTTCTTTGACTTTTTGTTTTTAAATTTCAGAGAACTACATCACTGTTGGAGTCGGCCATCTTGGAGAAATAGGTCAGTGGAATAAATCTGAGGAAATAAACGAGTGTTGGTTGAAACGGATGCCAGAGACAGCATGCCAGCCGAGGGCCTTCGTAAGGCTCAAACAAGGGCAGCCATCCATCTTGGGTCAGTGAGAACGAGGGGGCTTTGTCCTCCCTCTCTCAGTTCCCTGAATAGCTCTGGCACAAAGATCGTCATTCCTTCTCTAATTACCAGATGAAGAGCAGTTTGTCCACATGCCTCTTACGACCAGAAATAAAGTGCTCAGCGGCGAYGACCTTGGTCTGGAGGACAGCGAGTCCTCGTTTCCTTTTCAAGTCCCAAAAAATTGTATCTGAGGACCCTCCACAAAGGGTACGATTCATCTGCTCCCAGTCTAAGCATTTTAGTTAATGACCTATTATCTGTCCGCTGCCCTCTGGTCCCTGCTCCGTTCTGCTGCCAAAACCAATCATGTTTATGACGTGTCTCTAGTTTTACAGACCTTGGTTTGAGGTGGTTGTATGTAGGCCACAAGACAGTCAGTCCCCCATCTGCTCTTATGGCCAAAAGCCTCAGGAGGGAACTGAGAGCCAGGAGAGAGATGCACCCGGGCAGGGATTAGGGCTGGCACAACAATTCTGAGGGGAGGTGAGATTACAAACCAGGAGCACAAACACACAGTGTGTGTGTGTGTGTGTGTGTGTGTGTGTGTGTGTGNGATTTGGTAAACATCCTATTGGGAGATTAACGAGGAGACAGCCAGCTCCTGATTGTGCATGTGTGCGTGTGTGTGTGTGTGCATGTGTGTGTGAGTGTGTGTGTGTGTGTGTGTGTGTGTGTGTGTGTGTGTGTGTGTGTGTGTGTGTGTGTTGGGGGGGGGGGGGATTCCCATGTTAAAGCAGTGGTATCAAACTCATTTTCACCAAGGGCCACATGAGAGTTATGGTGGCCCTCGAAGGGCCAGTTGTAATGAACTTTGATGTTTCATGTTTAACTTTGACTAAACAGAGTTTTAACATGACCTCTTTTAAACACTGATAAGAACTAAGTGTACGACTGACTAAATCTGAAATAAATACAAAAACATAATTTAGTTTATGATTGATGCTGACTTTAAGCAGCTTATTTTCAGACATTAACACTGTGCTATCCAATTAAATTGCTCAGTTACTTAAAGCCAACAGTTCAGGGACAGGAATTTATTAAATTTAGTTTTATTTCATTTATTTTTATTAAAATTATTTTGTTGCATTTAATCATAAATTTAAAGTTTACCATTGATAAAAGAAACAAATTTCATGTTAAGTAAAAAAAATGGAGAGGGGACCCCCTGGGGGGGGCTACACGGGAGTCACCTGCAGGCCACATTTGGCCCATGGACCTTGTGTTTGACACATGGGTGTTAAAGGGTTTGTTCAGATTTTTTTGAAGATGGGATTTTGGGGAAAGGTTATAATAACAATACAGTTTATTTGAAGGCGCCTTTCATGGCACTCAAGGACAATAGCATCCAATAAAATACAACATAAAGTGAAGTATAACAGAAAAGAATAAAACAATAAATAGAAATAATAAAACATCTTATATACATAACATGACTTCAATAGAGGTGATGAAAAAGTTTTGTTAAGAATTATAATTTGAAAATGGACACGGTGGGAGAGTTTTTAATGTTCAGGGGGAGAGAGTTCTAGAAGTGGGGTGCTGMGTGACTGAAAGCTCCTGAGYTCATAGTGTTCARACGAGCTGGTGGTTGAGCTGGTATTATTGAGGGCTTTGAAGGTGGGGAGCAGGATTTTCTGAGAGCTTTACAGTGCAGATGCTGAAGGACAGGTGTAATATGACTGCTGGAAGGGGTTCTAGAAATGATACCAGCAGCCAAGTTTTAAACCAGTTGGAGTTCATGGATGGATTTTGCAGGTAAACTAAAAAGAAAGGAGTTGCAATAATCTGGAAGTGATGTGACCAGAGTGAGCCAGTACTGTTGGGTGGGAGGGATGGATGGAGATGAGTGATGCTACAGAGGTGAAAAAAGGCTAAATGAGTGATGTTACTGAGATGTTAACAGTTAGTATCTGACCTGTTGCAGACAGCGTTTTTGGGAACCCGTAAAGATGAGCTAACAGCTGTCTCCAATCTAAACAACTGTCACAGTTGTTTCATCTTTATATTAATTTACACTGTCATCAGTTTTATGGCTATTTCCATAGAATTTCATGGTTATTTGCAATTCAATTAACTTCAAAAATACTTTATTAATCCCAAAGGGAAATAACAAAAACCAAAAARGGCAGCAGCAGCTCGCAATAGCACTTCTGGTGCAGCGTACTGCACTTTCTGTGGTAATATCCTAATAATATCTGACAGAATAATGCTGTAATAGTTGACATAAGTGTCTCTGCCATGTTTGGAACCGAGATCTTCATGCTCAGGATGTTGAGTTTTAAGTCCCGCCTACTCCCTCATGCTGTGTTACAGGATATTTCTTTTAAAATATTGAAAAAAATTACACACCTTCAAAGTGTACTGCCCTGATGATGGATAAAAGTATATAGCAGTATGAAAAACAATAGGTTGTGTGCCCAGGGRCCAGCCTAGCCAATAGGCATGATTTCAGGTGGCCCCCTTTTTTAGTTTTTTTAAATCTTACAGCCAATTTACATRAATTCACATAGCAAATTATGTAGCTTTGACTTTGAAATTATTTTTATCTTTAGAAACCAGGTTGTCCACATAAAATAGTTAATATAATTAATTTGAAACAGAACAACAGTAGTCCACCTCATACCTGCCAACATCTGCTGACAGCTACGAGGAACACCTGTTCATGTTAACAAGTGGCTGTGGACTGAAGCAGTTCTAGGGGGGTCCAGGAGTTTATATTTTGAAAGAAAATCTACACAAAACTATGTGTTTTTCAGCCATTTGAAAAGCATTTTTACTAAAATCTTGTGATTAATAAAATAACATAAAATTAGTATTTTATGAAGGTTGAACACAAAAAAACAAACTTTAACCTGAGCTTTATCTGAGATCATAAYTGAAACTTACATTCTCATTATTTTGTTTTTTATTTACACACTGAGCACCAGTAGTTAGTCTTGACTGCATCATATGATTTTTTAATCACAAAACATCCTCTGCATCATGTAACATCACATAGTAACAAAACAGCTGGGAAACCCACAGATCAACTTACCTTCATAAACCTGAGTAACCAGTGAATATTCTACAGATTAAATCAATTRTACTCTGATAAAAAGTGATAAAATATATATTTTTGTCCCACATTTGTGGCGCCCCGTAGATGGACGATGCCCTTAGCATTTGCCTGTACTGCCTATGCCACAGGCTGACCCTGTGTGTGTGCCCACTGCATGGTTTTATTAGTGACGGTTTTGGACCTTATTGGGATTAATCAGGTTTTGGTAAGCTATGAAGTCATAACAGTCAGACAAACAAGCTGAATCTGCTTTTGTAACTAAATGATTTTTTTTTTTTTGCAGAGCAGCAATGTGCTTTGCTCTACAGAGATTTGTTTTCTCTGCTCTCAGCATATCATAGAGTATTAAATCTCCTGATGTCCTCCTCTGACCGTGGTCATCTGAAAAACAAAGCTCTGACCTCAGGTGTAACTCAGGAACTGTTTGCACGCCTGAAATGAAAGATCAGTTTTTGGGTTTAAAGCTTGGTTTGACAAATCTAATTGCTGTCTACAGCCTGTTCCTATGGAGGGGAAGGAGAACTGTCAACAAGGAGGATTTGGTAAACATCCTATTGGGAGATTAACGAGGAGACAGCCAGCTCCTGATTGTGCATGTGTGCGTGTGTGTGTGTGTGTGCATGTGTGTGTGAGGGAGGAAAGGAAGTGAGAGAGGGAGGGAGGGAGGAGAGAGATAAAGAGGACTTCCCAGCATGTGGCACATGGAGGGAGGGGATGAGGAGCCTGGTGGAAGGCACTGAAATGCTTTTCAGATGAACCGCTAACAAAGTGGCGAGCAGTGGCCCCCCTGGAGCAGCGAAGACCACAGGCAGTACCAGGAGACGAGAAGACCGGGAAGTGGAGGAGGAGACAGGAGCATCACAGCAGCTGGATCCACCACCGAGCAGGGAGCAGAGAACCAGCAGGGGTGACTATTCCGGACTGAGCAGCCTTCAACGACAGGTACATAAAAACAGGCACGCAGGCTGATTTGATGGGTGTCATCAGATTATTAAAACTATCTGTTCAGTGGATCAGAATGTTGATCTGCAGCAGAAAGGGGGGACAAATCCATTTTGGAGGTCTGGAGGTCACTGAACTCCTAAAGAAAACAGACACCCTCCTCCTCCAYAACACCCCTTCAAACTGTTCAGCTTCTTAAAATCACATCACCTTGAAAATMTTCTCCTTTTTAAAGCCTGAATTACCAAGGCAACAGCTTATCCCCCTTCAGATACTTCAGTCTAAATCTTACAGATCTCCAAACAGACTTATGTTTCCTTTTTCATGTATTAAATCACAGAAATAAACTGTTTTCTTTGACTTTAACATGACTGATTCCCATTTATTATATGGATAATTCCATCAATTTCCTGGTATGCTGGAGGAGATGGAATTATTTGTTTTTTACAGTAATTTTTTGAAACGTTTTACACGACAACGTTTGATTTAAACCACAACACAAATCATCTGGACATCGTGTCCCAACCATGTCAAACCAGGGCCAAGTCGGAGCCGTTCAGTCACGTCCGGCAGATTTGTTTAAGTCGCATTATGTAGGTTAGCCCACACACACCGGACAGATTAAAGGATGTGTCATCCATCTCAGCACGGTGCCTCAGCCCCTGCTAATTAGGCTCACCCTGTCTGGGTCAACAGAGGAAGTGAACTGTGGGCCAAGTGTCCCTGTGACCCCAGAGACYGTGTCTCTGAAAGTATAGTCCAGGGGTCTGCAACCTTTACAATCAAAAGAGCCATTTCATCCCCTTGGTTCACTAATAAAATGTGCCACAAAACATACTCCAACCATGATGGTCAACTGGTGGTTCACAAGCCACTTTAAGTTTGTGTTCAAAGGGGTGGTTTCCAGTCAGAGCAGTGACATTACACACCTAAAAATGTACAGTGAATTGGAACATTTAACATTAGTTTTACACTTCAAACTAGAAAAAATACATAATTTACATGAAATGTAATACAAAAAATACATTATCTAAAGAATTTACCATATTTCAGTCATTTCAATCCAGCAACTTCTCTCACAGGTGACTCCTGATGGATTTGAGAGAAAAGTCATCCTTCAAGGATGGAAGTGAGATTACTGAAGTGGTAAACAAACTATACTAGCATGATCTAACATGTTTCACTCCTTGCAGTAGTGTAAAACACATATTTGCAAACAAATGGACAGAAAAACTGCTAAAGCTAGCCTCTTTTGTTGTGGGAATAAAAAAAAACAGCAACAAAAAAAATCAATTTCATGACAGTTTTGGTCAAAGCTTCAAAAAGAGACCAAATAAATAAGAACATCATCTAATTAGCTAATTAACTAATTTTTAATAAATTGTAGAAGCATGTCTAGTAATTATTTTTGAAGAGATTTGTGAAAATCTGTTCAGTGGTTGATGAGATATTTTGCTAACAGGCAGACAAACATATTCAGACATGCCTCTCTAAACTCTAAAACTTTTTCTCTGCAGAGATGGCCGCCTCCGCTCCGCCTCTGCTTTTAATTTGCATATGCCTGGTGGCTGCGCTGATAGGTGGAGCCTTCTCGGAGGGGGCGTGTCTTCAAGACGGGAAATACAAGGCCACGCCCGGCCCAGAGGCACACCTGACAGAGTGCGGAATCTATGCTGAGAGTGAGTACTGTGTTTAGTGGAATAAGTGCTGAATTTGATGGCAGACAGAAATATAAAGCTGCTTTCCTCTCTTTGCCGATGCAGACAGCTGCTGCACCGAGGAACACATCCAGGACATCTCTTATGTTCCCTCTGCCAGCAGTAAGAATGAACCCTGGGACAAGTGTGGGCCTATGAGCCCTGAGTAAGTCTTATACCCTCATAAATACTGTGTTCATTTTTTAAGAGATGTTTGGTAATTTTAAAGCAGGGTTCTGTGGAAAAATTATGAACAAATATTCCCTTTCCTGCTTTTCGTTTAAGTGTGAAAAAACTGATGTGCAAATTGCTAGATCAAACACACCTCTGATCAAAGTGAATTGCTGCCATCCTAAAACAACTCCACTCTAAATATTTCTATTAGTTCATGCAAACACTCTTTTATAAGTGTTCAATCATTACCATTCAAAAATACAGCGAAGCCCTGATCGTCACAGGGTTTACGTTCATGCAAATCTTGAAAAAACATGAATTTTAGATGCAGTCCAAAAAAGACCTACAGCACATTTGAATAGCATCGTAACACATTAAGAACCAAACACAAACACATCAGAGCTAAACAATTAGCAGCTACTCATCACACAGTGCTGAACAGTTATCTGTTAGAACGTGGAAATGCTGCACTCTGGGTGGAGCGTCAGCACAGGCTGTGTGTCACACTGTATTTGTTTTATATAGATCTGAATTTATGATTATGTTACAAAATGAGTAAGTTGCATTGTCCTCAACAATTCAGCATGAAAACTCACTACAAAGCGTGAGAAAGAGAAGTATGCTTCATACTGTACAGTATATTTCCAGTTTCCATGAAATTATGGGGATTACTGCAGGTTCTGTGAAAAAATCCTCAAAAGACTCAGACCTCAAACTGTGAAACGCAACTTTGCAGGGCTTTACTGTCCAAAGTTATTTACAAGGAATTTTGTAGATTATAGGCACAGGTCACAGCAGCTAACAGTTATCCCTTCTGGCAGGAAGTTTTGTATTTTTGCCATGAGATATAAAGTTTTGTAAAAAAAAATGCTTACTTGACCAGCAAATGATTATGTTTTGATTAGGTTCGTTTTAGGATGGCAATGATCCACTTTGGTCACTTGTAATAGCAGTTAGCTTGAACCTGAGACTGTTCAAACAAATTATGTACAACAGGTAGGATACTAATTATTCACAACTCTTCCTCAGAACACTCGGCTAAGCATCAAACCTCGACTGTTTTTAGTTAATATTCAAAGTGAAACCAAGAAGCCAAACGTAGCTAATAGATGTAAAGTCAAATCTTTGTTCGTAAGAGTTTAAGACTTCATGATGCATCGTGTTGAAACAGTCTGATCCCATCTGTCTCTGCAGGTGTGAGGGCTTTCTGAAGCGTGTGGCGTGTTTTTACCGCTGCTCCCCTGATGCTTCCCGCTGGCCCCATCCTCACCGCCGCTCGTACATCCAGGCTGTGCCGCTCTGCCACAGCTTCTGTCGTGATTGGTGAGGCTGCCAAACATGCCGACAAGCTAACCTAAATCAAAATCAGTATCTGTCCCGCCTCACATTTAGGACTGTCAGGGGAAAGATTACTGTTTTGATAAATTACCCAGTAAAAGTAATGTGAAAATATATCATACAGGCGAGACAGTACTCATAATAGTTTAGATGTATTGAGGGGTGGGGGGTTGTAAAGTTGGATTAGAAATGAAATTAGATCATWCCTTTTGTTTTATATTTGCTGTGAAAACACAAGATATTCATGGAAATACAAGAAAAAAACTGTTTAGTGTCTGATGCCGTATTCTACTTTGATTAGTTTATTGTTGGAGTTTAAATAAATATTGGAACTTACTGTGACAAAGATGGTAGTTAGAATTACCACACATGGTCATGTTTAGATGCTTTAAAACACATTCTTTTTGCAAGTTTTCTACTGAAGCAGGTTCAAAATGACCTTCAGCAGCTTATTAGCACAACTTTGTGCAAAAGAGCTGCAATGGCTCAGATCAAATGCAACAAAGTCCATTAGGTGGCACCTCTAATTCAAAATGCAAAGTGTACCAAAGTCCCATTATGGTTTTATATCTGTGATCAGCAAAATGTTAAAAGTATGTCTACCCAAAGATGTTAAAACTCGTCAGTGTTTGTCTAGTAGTCTGCTAAAGGGTTAGAATTAACTCATAAAAAGCTGCATGTTGCAAAGAATCAAGCAGGGKTTTTTTTCCCCAGGTTTAATGCCTGCAGGATGGACATGACCTGCGCTCGTAACTGGGCCAAAGACCCCAGAGGACAGAACTGTACTGGGACCTGTGTTCAGTATCAGCAGGTACGCTGTGCCTCACACATCAGACTCTTTGTCTTCACTATAGGGTCCTCTTT